GGGGGGGGATTTGACTGAAGCGTGCTCGTGCAAATGCAGAGGACCGACGCCATGGCGCTTTGCAGGCCCTTTGTGCTTTGCCTGTGATTATCCAGCAGAGCATTCAGGTTTTTGCAGAACAGGTCGACTTCAGGCTGCCGCGCCCGCAGAGGCAGCCCCAGAGCAGGGCTGCGCTCGGTGATGCTCAGGCGGAGCTGCTGCCTCGCGATTTGTGCGTTCGACGCTCTCTCAGGAGAGGAAGCACAGCTTTGTGTCCTCCACGGGGGACTCTCTCGTGTGAGCACAAGAACACGCCTCCCCTTACATTTCTAAATCTATTAGGGCAGGAGAGTAACAAGAAAAATGAGTACTGACAAGAATTATGCAATTGTTATATTCCATCTATTTAGGAACCTGAAGCTGCAGTTTCAGCCAGAGATTACCTTTCAAATAGCCCTTTGATTATGGTACATGAATTAATGCCATGTTCCCATGTTAGAATTGTCACTCACTATTAATAGCAGGAACCTGTGAATGGCACATTTTTGCCATCTTCTCTTCCTGATTATGCACAAGCACTACCTGTCGTACAGCCCACTGAACCCACCGCCGCTCCTTCTGCGTTTCCAAACTGTCCTGAAAAATCTTCAGCCAGAAGCAGGGACTGCACCTCCAGTACCTTTTGACAGAGTCAGGTTTAAAGCCAGTATTTTTCTCCACTTGCAAAAAATGACATAACAAAGAGCAACCTGTGGCTAAGTGTGATTCTACCACGCCTATCACAATATTTGTTCAGGTGTAATACTACCCCTAAAAAAATAATTCTAAGAAAACAGTTCTGTTGCACTGCTCAGCTGAAGCGCAGAACCTGAGCCAGCCCCACAAGAGAAGAGGCAGGTGAAACGCACTGTTGTGTCACAGCTGTGCCCGACCGTTTTCTTTAGGTTGCAGAACCAAAAATCTGGTTTTGCTGCGGTTCGTGAACCGCTCCAGGCCTCAGAGCTCTCGGCACGTCCAGGAGCGGCAGACCCCAGGAGGTAGAGCTCTGGAGCCGCCCTGCCCCTGGGTCCCAGAGGCGTCTCTTCCTGGGCCCCTTCCTTCTCAGCTCCCTCCAGGGAAGGCAGGAGGGGACCCCAGCTCCGAACCCAACCCACTGCGGGGTCCCGGAGCACAGAACAACTACCCGGGCCTGCACGGGTGCAGGATGGGCTTGATCCTCTCTTTAAATACACATTTTCCCCGCCAACTAGTACTAGTTAAAAATAAAAGCCAGCTAAATTATTCATTGGCAGGTTTTTTCCACAGTGACATCTGGAAACTATCACTGGCTCTAGCACTTGTATACCAGGCTGGAACAGTGAACAGAGAGAAAGCTGCAGCTGGGGTGACCGAGCGTGCCTGCTCAAGCACACGCTTCTTACGAGTATCACACAGCTCCCCGTATCCAAACATCTTATTTAAATAAGCCCTAATGCAAGACAAAGCTTCCCATGAAACGGGCAGAGGTGCCATCTCTCATGACTCACCTGCTAAGACCAGGAGAAAGATGAGGAGCAAGTTTGTGTCAGTGTTGGCTTCCATCAGAGCTCCCACCCGGCCCCTCCGCAGGCAGCAGCACCCCCCCCAGCGAGCGGTGATGTCTGCTGCCAGCGCACGTGTGCCTGGGCACGTCTGGGGGTCTCTCCGCACCCCCTCTGCTCTCGACACTTAAACCGCACGGAGGAAAAGCCAGATGGAGGTTTCCCACACAGGTACCACACGGCTGGCTGCGTGCGCGTCCGACTACACGGAAGAGCAGAGAAAGCTTTGCGAGCGCCAGCTCACCTGAGATGGCATACAGATTCGAGTGCTGGTGCTCCAAGTCCAGGCGAGTGCTGTGACTTTTCCCTCGGAAGCTGGCGGGGAGCGTCAGCGAGATATGCCTGAGGACGAGATGGGAAACGGAGATGACGTTACCACAGAGCGGAAGGTTTCTGCTGCCGTCAGGTTGCGCTTGCCTGACGATTTAAGCAGTAAATATTAATTTTAACACTGCTTGTAAAAGCCAGAGCAGGCCCCTAATCCCAGGAGGAGACCGAGGGTGGTTCAGCTGCTTCACCGGCTCCTCAGCCCAGCTGTGAGCCCATCTACAACCTGGTGTGATGCCCCCACCCCGCTGACCGACGGACTGGGCCAACAGCCGATGCGCTACAGAGGCGGCCACCCCCCACCCTGGCAGGACGCGGCAGCTCCTCGCCAGCCTGGGCCAGCCTGCGAGCAGGGGACCCCCTCCGCAAACACAAGTCTCAACATCAGGAGCATCCCCCAACACCCCGCGGGACTCAACCGCGTCTCCTTCAAGGCAGAACGCGCTAACAGCAAACGCTTTAGATTCATCCGTACCAAAAACCTGAAGTACCTTCATAAATAAGATCTTTGAACGTCTCCTGGTGACCGAGGGCTGCCCCCAACCTCCCCGGAGCGGGCGCAGGTCCCTGCATCCCCACGCCAGCCCCGGGGACAAGCGGAGCCAAACCTCCCGCGGCCCCTCTCCAGCCGCGGGACGGCCCCTTCCCAGCAGCGTCTGCCCCACGCCCCCGCAGCGCGGAGATATTTTTACACTTCCATTAAACCTCCCTATAAAGAGGAAAAAGCAGAGCTCGTGGAAGTGAAGTCGAAACTATTTTTGGTGGCTCAGAGCTTACTAAAAGGAAAATCCTGAGCACAGGCTAGAAGAGGAGGTGGGCGACTCCCCAGGAACAGGCGGAGAGGGCGGGTGGATGCGGCACCCCAGGCCACAAATGAGGCCACTGG